GGCTGGTTTACCGTACGTGCGTTTTTGTGTTTTTTTTGGCCGATGGGGTGGGGTGGGTTGGGGTGGGGTGGGGTGGGCTAATAACGTTCAATGGCACTAGCACACATACTTGATGCTACGCTACCCCCTCGTCTCTTGCACTTGCACAGATACCTGATGCTACGCTACCGACCTCGTCTCTTGCACTTGCACACATGCCTGATGCTACGCTACCGACCTCGCCTCTTGCACTTGCACACATACCTGATGCTACGCTACAAATGGGTTGGGTTGGGGTGGGGTGGGGTGGGCTAATAACGTTCAATGGCACTAGCACACATACGTGATGCTACGCTACCGGTCTCTTCTCTTGCACTTGCACACATACGTGATGCTACACTACCGACCTCATCTCTTGCACTTGCACACATACCTGATGCTACGCTACCGACCTCGTCTCTTGCACTTGCACACATACCTGATGCTACGCTACAGATGGGTTTGCGTGGGGTGGGGTGGGCTAATAACGTTCAATGGCACTAGCACACATACTTGATGCTACGCTACCGGTCTCTTCTCTTGCACTTGCACACATACCTGATGCTACGCTACCGACCTCGTCTCGTGCACTTGCACATACCTGATGCTACGCTACCGACCTCGTCTCTTGCACTTGCACACATACCTGATGCTACGCTACAGATGGGTTTGCGTGGGGTGGGGTGGGGTGGGCTAATAACGTTCAATGGCACTAGCACACATACTTGATGCTACGCTACCGGTCTCTTCTCTTGCACTTGCACACATACCTGATGCTACGCTACCGACCTCGTCTCGTGCACTTGCACACATACCTGATGCTACGCTACCGACCTCGTCTCTTGCACTTGCACACATACCTGATGCTACGCTACAGATGGGTTTGCGTGGGGTGGGGTGGGGTGGGCTAATAACGTTCAATGGCACTAGCACACATACTTGATGCTACGCTACCGGTCTCTTCTCTTGCACTTGCACACATACCTGATGCTACGCTACCGAACTCGTCTCGTGCACTTGCACACATACCAATGGCAATGGCGCTGGGAAAACAGTGCCTGTGCATGCCTGTGCCAATCTGAGCCGTTTGACAGCCGAGACTCTTCGAGCGAACATGCAGTGAAAGTGCTGCGCCAGAAAAAAAAAAAACGAAAAGTCTGATTTTTTTGTTCTCTCCCTGTGGCGAAACGCAAATCCATCAAAAAACAAGGCATCCTGAAACAGCCTCTTTCTACTCCTGGCGTGCACAAAAGCGTGCAAATACAAGTGAAAAATGATGAAAAAATAAAAACAATGGAATTAGCCACATTTTCTGACCAAACATGATGATGATTGCTTCAAAAGTCCTGCAAATACCAAGAGATGAACATGAAGGTCATCATAAAGACTCTTAAGAAAATGCCAAAACACACGCGCGGTAAACCAGGCGCCGGGATGTATATGTACCTGTATATGTATCTGTATATGTATATGTACCTGTATATGTATATGTATCTGTATGTATATGTATATATATATAGATGGATAGATAGATAGATATACATGTATGTATGTATGTATGTATGTATGTATGTATGTATGTATGTATGTATGTATGTATGTATGTATGTATGTATGTATGTATGTATGTATGTATGTATGTATGTATGTATGTATGTGTATGTATGTATGTATGTATGTATGTATGTATGTATGTATGTATGTATGTATGTATGTGTGTGTGTGTATGTGTGTATGTGTGTATGTATGTATGTATGTATGTATGTATGCATGCATGCATGCATGCATGCATGCATGCATGCATGTATGTATGTATGTATGTATGTATGCATATGTGTGTGTGCATGTATATGCGTATATAAATACATATGGACATGTATGTTATATATATATATATGTAGTACATGCACATGTGTGTGTGTGCACAAATGCCTGTAAGAAAATATATGTGCGTGTGTGTGTGTATCTTTACTTTATACCTATATATGCACATACATGTGTGTATGCATATGCATGTTAACACTTGCTTTTGTGTATATATTATATGTGTATCTATATATATGTGTGTGCGTGTACATTTGCAACTATATTTGTGTGTGTGTATGTATGCACATAAACACATAAACAAACATAAACACATGTTCTATGCGTATGTGATTGAAATGATTGAGGAATGTACACTCATGTACACATGTATGCCTCCGGGTGGGAACGCAAGTTTTCATTGGGGGTCAGGCACTTCTTGGGTTATTTAAGAATGTTCTTGGTGTTTTGGTGTTGTCTTATTTATCTTATTTTTCTTGGTTAGTTTCGGGTGTATTTTGGGTTGGTTTTGGGTTTACTTGGCTTGATTTTGTTTTTATTTCAGGCTTTTTTAAGTGTCTTACGATTTGATGTTAAGTGTTTTAGTTTCAGCCTTGAAACACTGCAATTGACGGAGAACATGTGCCAAAACGGTTTTTAAAAGGGGTTTGGCACCGTCCTAGAGCCAGTCCACACCTGACTAAATATAAGCACAACCCGAGTTGGATGCTTCGACAGGTTGCTGCCAAGACAATGCAAGGATAATAAAACTGTTTGGTGCCAGCGTTCCCCCCAAGTTTCAGTTTCAACAATAACCAAATTTCCACTGAGCCGGAGGCAGCAGAAAAATGGACATGGATGTTCCTCACCTGCTGTTGGATAGGCCAAGCTCAACAAAGTTTCCCAACCCTATATATATATGTGTGTGTGTGTACCAGGCCTCCTTCAAAGTTTGGCGTCGCAAGTGCCTGCCACACTTCTTCATGTCGTGTCTTGTAGTGCTGGGACATGCTGAGGCTGCAGCCAAACTTTGACTCGACCTGCCTGGGGTGTCTTTGAGCTCTGGCTCAGAGGTACAAGCTCAGAAAGACTGCTGGCAGAGATTAAGCTTCCGACATGATCACCCGCTGCAATGGTTTGAGAGCCCAAACTAGGAGTGGAGAGCCCACACAAAAATTTCAATTGCACTGGTCTGAAAGTTGTTTTTGCGTCTTTTGCTACAGCACCCTGAGTCTTGCGCGCCAGGATGCAAGTAGCCTCTCATGGCTGCAATATGCTGCAATTATTTGTATTTTCTGGTCTTACAACCATCAAGAAACTCATACTCGCAGCGAACCTCACATTCAATCTGTGGAAGTGCAGCTTGGCTGCAAACATGGGAAGGAAAAACCTTGGTAGTCCAGCTGTGCTGAAATCTGAAATGCCAGCCATAATTGTGCCTCATTGTTTCATCAATTATCCATAGCAGCAGCACACAAAACAAGTGCACAACTGAAAGCCTTGAAGAAAAAGCTACAGCAGAAACTGCTGTATAGTATGTGTAGCAAAAGATTGCTCGCAAGGAGGAAGCGCTAAGAGCGCCACCCAAACATTGGACTTTGAAGATAAAACCACATCGCCCGTTTCCAAGCACGAGATGCTCTTGACTGCCTGCCGGGTTTACACCTAGCAAACTGTTTCACAGGTAAAGCCGCATATGGCATATGGCATAGCCTCAGGCAACACAGCGAGCCGCTGTAAACACAGCTGGTGCGCCATTGCGCATATCTGAAAATCTGTCTGCCGAGGAGAAAACATTAGCATTGCGTGCTCTTGCCGTAGGATGCGGGAGGTTTGCTGCTGGACACACCCTTCGGGGAGATTTTGTCAAGGTGCGTGTGTGCAACTGGTGTCCCGAAGAAGTTGTGTTTGATCTGGACAAGTGCTGCAACACTCAGCTGGCATCAAAATGGCAACTCTTAAATGCGCATGCAGATTATAGTTTATCTCCCATCACCCATCCACGCCGTTTCTCGCTGCCACCAAACAGAGTCCCTAACTCCTGCCTAGAGCCACTGGCATTCACGCGCAGCCATGTCAGCAACTCTAAGTTGACATAGCGCAGGCAATCGTCATTTGCCAGGCGCATCAATTGGGTGAGCCCCGTCAGCGAATGCAGCCCACAAATTGGCTGCATATGTACATTACTTTGAGAAGCCGATTTTGGCCTGCCTCTAAGCGACAACCGACGGGCTCTCAACACAAAAAGCCTCCTGGGCTGCTGAAAGAAAGGCAACTGCACCAGCATGTGAAGCAAGTGGCATGTACGATTAATTACTGCATTTTTATGTCTTGGAAAGCATCTACGAAAAAAGTCGTGAAAAGGCCAGAAGGCAGCACTACTCGGATCTGAATGGGGCCTGGAAACTTGGAGGGTCATGAGCTCATCACCGTCTGCGACGGTGCCGGCTCCTAGACCCATCTCGTCCCCTGGCGTTTCGACACATCTCAGACTTCTCATACAAGTCTTGCCATCTCTCTGTCCACATGAAACATGATCAACTATCATTCATAGGTGTCCAAATGTCTCAATTCTCTCAACACTCGATGCCTTTTACGTCGCCGACGATCTCGTGAGCTCGAAGAAGACCTGACTCTGCTCGAGTCACAAGTCCCAGTCACTCAAAAAGCATTGTCACAGGATGTCAGAGGCTTAGCCAAGGACTCATAGTAAGACCTAACGCAACTGATCAAACGTGATCAACTGCAAAAATTGCCAACGAAACCGACGGAACACTCTTTGAATTTATGCGGTCTGAGGTGCTCAGATCTGGAGTCGGACCTCCGTCGTCGTGAGCCTTGAAGTTCTGCGCGTTTGTGTGAGCGAGAGAGAGAGAGAGTTCTTTCTTTTGTTTGTGTGTTTTGTAACTGACATGCGTATATATAAGTACTGCCTTTATATATATATAATTAGATGAAACAATTACACCGGCATAGACCCCAGATAGAAGAGGTTGGAACTGATGGTTCCCAACGTGGGAACCAAAGGTTACCATGGCAAGGAACTGCCGGTTCCCAGACCTTGAAACTTACGGTTCCCAACCTGGGAACCAGAGGGTGCCATTGCAAGGAATTGCCGGTTCCCAGAAGTTAGAATTTTTGTTTTCGAAGCTAAGCAACTATCATTGCAAGGAACTGCGGATTCCCAAAGTTTGAAACTCATGGTTCCAAACCTGAAAAAGAATACGTTACCAGTGGAAGGATCTGTTGATTGCAAAAAGTTAGAACTCATGGTTCTTAATGTTGTGTTGTTTTACTGAGCCGGTAACAGAACCTTTTGTTTTGCTTAATGGACTGGTAGCGGAATGTTTGCGTTCGGCTGCTGGGCCGGCATAAAAATGTTTTTGCACGAAAAAGGTGCATGTTAAAATGATATGAAAACAGTTTCTTTACAACTTTATGGTTTTGCTTAATGGACCAGTAAAGAACGCTTTGTTTTGCTTAATGGACCGGTACCGGAATGTTTGCGTTTGGTTCATGGCAAGGAACTGCCGGTTCCCCAAGGTTGGAACTCACTGTTGCCAACGTGGGAACCACAGGTTACCATTGCAAGGAACTGCCGGTTCCCAGAGGTTGGAACTCCTGGTTCCCAACCTGGGAACCAGAGGTTACCATTGCAAGCAACCGGTTCCCAGAGGTTGGAACTCATGCTTCCCAACCTGGGAACCATAGGTTACCATTGCAAAGAACTTCCAATTCCTAAAGGTTGGAACTGATGGTTCCCAACGTGGGAACCAAAGGTTACCATGGCAAGGAACTGCCGGTTCCCAGACCTTGAAACTTACGGTTCCCAACCTGGGAACCAGAGGGTACCATTGCAAGGAATTGCCGGTTCCCAGAAGTTAGAATTTATGTTTTCGAAGCTAAGCGGCTATCATTGTAAGGAACTGCGGGTTCCCAAAGCTTGAAACTCATGGTTCCAAGCCTGAAAAAGTAACGTTACCAGTGGAAGGATCTGTTGATTGCAAAAAGTTAGAACTCATGGTTCTTAATGTTGTTTTGTTTTGTTTACTGAGTCGGTAACAGAACCTTTTGTTTTGCTTAATGGACCGGTAGCGGAATGTTTGCGCTTGGCTGTTGGGCCGGCATAAAAATGTTTTTGAACGAAAAAGGTGCATGTTAAAATGATATGAAGACAGTTTCTTTACAATTTTATGGTTTTGCTTAATGGACCGGTACAGAACGCTTTGTTTTGCTTAATGGACCGGTACCGGAATGTTTGCGTTTGGTTCATGGCAAGGAACTGCCGGTTTCCAAAGGTTGGAACTCACGGTTGCCAACGTGGAAACCACAGGTTACCATTGCAAGGAACTGCCGGTTCCCAGAGGTTGGAACTCCTGGTTCCCAACCTGGGAACCATGGGTTACCATTGCAAGCAACTGCCGGTTACCAGAGGTTGGAGCTCATGCTTTCTAACCTGGGAACCACAGGTTACCATTGCAAAGAACTTCTGGTTCCTAAAGGTTGGAACTGACGGTTCCCAACGTGGGAACCAAAGGTTACCATGGCAAGGAACTGCCGGTTCCCAGACCTTGAAACTTACGGTTCCCAACCTGGGAACCAGAGGTTACCATTGCAAGGAATTGCCGGTTCCCAGAACTTAGAATTTATGTTTTCGAAGCTAAGCAACTATCATTGTAAGGAATTGCCGGTTGCGAAAGCTTGAAACTCATGGTTCCAAACCTGAAAAAGCATACGTTACCAGTGGAAGGATCTGTTGATTGCAAAAGTTAGAACTCATGGTTCTTAATGTTGTTTTGTTTTGTTTACTGAGCCGGTAACAGAACCTGTTGTTTTGCTTAATGGACCGGTAGCGGAATGTTTGCGTTTGGCTGTTGGGCCGGCATAAAAACGTTTTTGCACGAAAAAGGTGCATGTCAAAATGATATGAAAACAGTTTCTTTACAATTTTTTGGTTTTGCTTAATGGACCGGTAAGGAACGCTTTGTTTTGCTTAATGGACCGGTACCAGAATCTTTGCGTTTGGTTCATGGCAAGGAACTGCCGGTTCCCAAAGGTTGGAACTCACTGTTGCCAACGTGGGAACCACAGGTTACCATTGCAAGGAACTGCCGGTTCCCAGAGGTTGGAACGCATGGTTCCCAACCTGGGAACCAGAGGTTACCATTGCAAGGAACTGCCGGTTCCCACCTGGGAACCGCAGGTTACCATTGCAAAGAACTTCCGGTTCCTAAAGGTTGGAACTGACGGTTCCCAACGTGGGAACCAAAGGTTACCATGGCAAGGAACTGCCGGTTCCCAGACCTTGAAACTTACGGTTCCCAACCTGGGAACCAGAGGTTACCATTGCAAGGAATTGCCGGTTCCCAGAAGTTAGAATTTATGTTTTCGAAGCTAAGCAACTATCATTGTAAGGAACTGCGGATTCCCAAAGTTTGAAACTCATGGATCCAAACCTGAAAAAGCATACGTTACCAGTGGAAGGATCTGTTGTTTCCAAAAAGATCAAAATCATGGTTCTTAATGTTGTTTTGTTTTGTTAATGAGCCGGTAACAGAACCTTTTGTTTTGCTTAATGGACCGGTAGCGGAATGTTTGCGTTTGGCTGTTGGGCCGGCAAAAAAGTATTTTTGCACGAAAAAGGTGCATGTCAAAATGATATGAAAACAGTTTCTTTACAATTTTATGGTTTTGCTTAATGGACCGGTAAAGAACGTTTTGTTTTGCTTAATGGACCGGTACCAGAATGTTTGCGTTTGGTTCATGGCAAGGAACTGCCGGTTCCCAAAGGTTGGAACTCACGGTTGCCAACGTGGGAACCACAGGTTACCATTGCAAGGAACTGCCGTTTCCCAGAGGTTGGAACTCCTGGTTCCCAACCTAGAACCATGGGTTACCATTGCAAGAAACTGCCGGTTACCAGAGGTTGGAACTCATGCTTCCCAACCTGGGAACCATAGGTTACCATTGCAAAGAACTTCCAGTTCCTAAAGGTTGGCACTGATAGTTCCCAATGTGGGAACCAAAGCACCCAACTCTGGCACAGCACCTGCCAGCCCCTGCCTGCACAGCACCCTGCACAGGCACCCTGCACAGGCCCCTGCACAGCACCCTGCACAACACTGTGCACAGCACCCTGCACAGCACCTTTGCCAGACTTCGCCACTGCAGTCTGAACAGCACTCTGCACAGCACCCTGCACAGCACCTTTGCCAGACATCGCCACCGCAGTCTGGACAACACCCTGCACAGCACCTTTGCCAGACTTTGGCACCGCAATCTGGACAGCACCCTGCACAGCACCTTGGCCAGACTTCGCCACCGCAGTCTGGACAGCACCCTGCACAGCACCCTGCACAGCACCCTGCACAGCACCCCCCACCTTTGGGGCCCCCAGCCACCTTGGCCAGACTTCGCCACCGCAGTCTGGACAGCACCCTGCACAGCACCCTGCACAGCACCCTGCACAGCACCTTTGCCAGACTTCGCCACTGCAGTCTGAACAGCACTCTGCACAGCACCCTGCACAGCACCTTGGCCAGACTTCGCCACTGCAGTCTGAACAGCACCCTGCACAGCACCCTGCACAGCACCCTGCACAGCACCCTGCACAGCACCTTTGCCAGACTTCGCCACCGCACTCTGGACAGCACCCTGCACAGCACCCTGGGCTCAAAAGGTCGCCACCGAAGACCCCACCTTTGAGAAGTAAGAACCCCTATAGCTTGCTAGCTATCTGGGGAAATAGTTACATATGTTTATATATATGCTATGGCTATATATGTATGTATGTATGTATATATATATATATATACGTTACTATTATCATTATTGTTGTTATTATTTTATACTTTATATATATATATATACATATACACACTTTAACTATAATTATATGATTATATGAATTATATACAAATATTTTGTATTATATAATCTTATATAATCTCTCTCTCTCTCAGCATCATTTTACACAGGGTTTTGCGTAAATTTGTCCGTGTTCTGTGCTTACCCTTCAGTACTGTCCTTTTGGTCCTCACTACTTGTAAACTCAGGATGTGGCGCGACCTTCGGCCCCTCCCTCTCTTTGAGTAGTCCTCAACATGCGGGCAATCTGGAGCCACCCACTGGGCATAGTGGGGGTGCAAAGCTATGAAAATGTGACAAGTGCGCAACAAATGCGAGAGAGGCCCTTCCCACCTTCGGATCCCTGACCATAAACCAAAAATCCGCCCACACCGCTTTGGCGGTGAAGGCGTGCTTATTGGGGGGCAACAGCAACACTAAATGCTCAATGACATTTGTTAATATAGCAGTCGCTATATCAGCTTTAGCTGGGGGGGGCCAAAAACGGTTTCGCACCGAGACCAGAATACGGTGGTGTTTTCGACATTTTTCGAGGATTTTTGGGTGTCTGAGCGCAAGAGGGTATTGAAATGGAATTTTGGGTCATTTTGGTAGCTTTCCGGCAATGGAAAAACGGCCAAAAATGAAAAAAACATTGTACATAGCAAGATTTTGCAGGGTTTTTGGATGCCAGAGCATTGAAAACACTGCAAAAACAAGTGTTTTGGACTGACGTTATAGCAAAAAACGTGTAAATTACCGTATGCTTGACTGGAAACATTACAAAAACACTGTCAAAAGCAATGTTTTGGAAGGATTTACTGCCTTTATGGCAAAAAACGTGTAAATTACCGTCTGTTTGACTGGAAACATTGGAAAAACACTGTCAAAAACAATGTTTTGGAAGGATTTCTTATATATATATATATGTTGGAGTTGGCTACCGGCATTGGCACATGGAAAAATTGAAGAAAACACTGTAAATAGCGGTATTTTCAACGGTTGGGGAGATAAGGGAATTGGAAGCATTGTCGAACATGATGTTTTCGACCGGTTTTATGGCGACAAAAGTGTAAAGTACCGTGCTTTGAAGGAAACCATTGCAAAAACATGGAAACACATTCAAAGAACACGGGATTTGGGGGACTATCTAGGCGTCGTTGTCTAGCTATTTGAAATTCCGCAGCTTGGAGAGCCTCCAAGGGAGGGAAAAGTGAAAATTCCATAGCTTGGGAAGCTGTCACGGCGGGGAAAAATGAAAATTCCCTAGCTTGGGAAGCCCCCACGGGGGGGAAAAGTGAAAATTCCCTAGCTTGGGGAGCCCCCACGGGGGGAAAAGTGAAAATTCCCTAGCTTGGGGAGGGGGGGAAAAGTGAAAATTCCCTAGCTTGGGGAGCCCCCACGGGGGGGAAAAGTGAAAATTCCCTAGCTTGGGGAGCCCCCACGGGGGGGAAAAGTGAAAATTCCCTAGCTTGGGGAGCCCCCACGGGGGGGGAAAGTGAAAATTCCCTAGCTTGGGGAGCCCCCACGGGGGGGAAAAGTGAAAATTCCCTAGCTTGGGGAGCCCCCACGGGGGGGGAAAGTGAAAATTCTTAGCTTGGGGAGCCCCCACGGGGGAAAACCACCCTTAGCCCCTCTCACGGACCGAAATAAACCTGCGGTGTGGGCGGCCACCCCACGCGAAGCGGGGTGAATACACAGGTTCGATTCGTCGATCATTTTCGTTGTTTTAAGGATTTTAAGGTCTCCTCCGCAGCCTTTTTCGCCTGGCAGGTGCACTCTACAGGGCTCATGCCAGGATGGCATCACAGCATCACAGCTGTCCCTTCTCCGAAGCGCCTGTGATGCCATCGTCACTCTGACTTCTTGGCCCAAGATGTCGGTCTTGCCTTCCTTGAAGTGGGCATGTGAAACGACCACTTGGATAGCATGGTGCCACACAAGATCTGGAGCGCACCATGGCATCCACCGCATCTTCAGCATCACCTCAGGCAGCGTGTGCGCTTGTTGCTTGCATCTTATGTGATTAGTCGTGCTGAATATCAGATTGAGTATTGCCAAGGCTGCGGCGCTTGTCCCTGAATCGTACAAATGCAAAGTTTCGATCCCTTGGAATGTACACCTTGTGAGCAGCGTTGCGGTGTTGTGAACCAGGGGGCTTGCTGTTGAAAGCGATGCTCGATAAGGCTGAACTCAGCTAGCTGCGTCACCAACGTCGCCAAATTTCGAGAACTTTTCTCGAAGTTCTTCTTTGACCTCACAGATCTCACAGACTCAGGTGACTCAGGTCACTCAGGCGACTCCGCGCTGCTTCATTAGCTTCTCAGTAGCTCGCCAAGCATGGCATCTCTGCACGGCTCATTTTTTTCATGCGATTGGTCTCTGAGAGCCCCACTGCCACGAAGTCTTCCGGAGTGACAGTGATGTTGTCTAGTTTGACACTGTACCTTTCAGCAAAGGATCAGTCACCGAGCACAGAATTGCCAGTGACTCTGAGAACACACACCCGAAAAAAGAATTTGCGAATCTGCTGTGGCCAGTTTGGATAGCAAGCAGGATAATAAAGACTGACACAAATGCCTTGCAAGCCAAATCGTGCTCCAGGCAATGTCTTCCCCACAGGTGTGCAGTAAATCTGGAAGTTGCATCGATGGTTTTGACCAAGGGGCATTTGATTCACATCAGGGAAGCGAGCCATGGTTGCCAAACACCTCTCTGGGAGTTTGAGAGACATTTGACGCATCAGGCTTTCAAAAACGTTGCAGAAAATGCATGAAAATGCCCCGAAGCCTTGGCAGCCTGGCTAGGTATGGCACTGGTTGAATCTTGTGCCAATGATGCAGAGACAGAACAGGAATGCCACGTCAAACACAATTCACCATGATCAGCACATGCACTGCAATAGACTTATGGAATGCATTCCAAGTACAATTTTCAATCCCCGATGTGCTCACCCGCAAACTATGAGCTTCAACAGATCGAATTAACTACCTACGAAATCAGAGTAGCAAATTAAAGCTCTCGAGCCGCTGCTCTCCAACGGCTTAAGAGATCACAGGGTGCTGCAGAGTGCTGCCTCTATTTCAGCTCATCTGCATTTCACAACCCTATATTTCACTCAATTGTGTGCAAGTGCTGCGTCACACAGATCTGAATCCTCGCAGTCGTTAAAATATTTCCTCACTTTCTGGCCCTGCCAGCGTCAACCGGCAAAAGCGTTTCAACACAATGAAAGACTGCCAAAATCCCAACACAACAAAAAAGGGGTGCGGCAGGGTGGCTGACATTTTTGCCAATTTAGATGCTGAAATTGAGAAGGGTCCTCAGTGATGTGTCCGGCACCTACTCTCTAGCTAGGCCTCTCGGCAGCACAGGTTCCCGTTTTTGTCACCGCCTCCTCTGGGCAGGCTTTGCATCCGCTGCAGCCTCAGTGGTCCAGAATGACAAACTCAAATCGGAAAATGCAAGCAGCGGCAGCAGTGGCAGCAGTGGCAGCAGTGGCAGCAGTGCCAGCATCATACTTTCCAAACACAATCAGGGCAGCTGCTGTTCTAGCCGGGGAAGGCCCATTGCCAACCTCAAGTCAACACAAGTGAAACGAACCAGATCGTGTAACAAACCAGGGCGGAAGGTCTGATAGCAACACCAAGACGGTACAGTCGGGTTGGCACAAAGCTGAGGTCCAGGCTGCTGCAGCAGCAGCAGCAGCCATGGCAGCCAGCGAAGGTTTTCCCCTGAGCTGAAAGAAGCTGCAATGAATGCTTCCCTTTGAAAACCAGAACCGCAAACTAGTTTGAAGGCTTGGCAACTCGCAGCCAAGGGCTACACCGAAAGTTGTTCAAAGATGGTGCACTGCTGTTCGCCTTCGCCCAGCACAAATTGCAGAACCTCTAAAAAATCTGTTCGCATCCAATTCGGCGAGTTTGTTCTTTATGCAGGTCCAGTGAGCCATGGGTAATTGCAAGCACTGCAGTATCCAGCTGGTTGGAATACTTGCTCTAGAATGCTACTTTTTGCATGTGCAGACTTCGTGAGGCTGAGCTCTGAGGTCATCTCTTCAAAGGAGACAAGATATGTTTTGCTTTTTGACGGATATGTGATATGTGATTCGAAGACGTGCCAGTGGGCCCTAGGTTGGGTTCAATGGGGTCTAAAACAAAATCAGGAAGAGCAGTCTGCCTCAGCCTCAGTTTAACAATGTTTTTGTAGAATCAATATAGTACCGCAAACTCCCAAACTCCTCACAACCGTACAAGAAGTCAAGTCACTGAAGCCAACGGCCGTGCAATGCCTCGCATCCTTGCAGCTTCCATGCGAGCAGCTTCCAAAGCACCCATAAGGCCCCGTGGTGGCGAGCTTTGACCACCGTGTGCACCGGTGCCCTTTGAGGTTCTTGAGGAAGGGGTGTCCTTTGCAACCGACTCCTTCTGCGCAGCTTCAGACTTGTTCCCCTTCACTTTTCCCGCTTTTGGAACATCCGGAGTCCGGATGTGTTCGCTCTTTTTCTTGCCTTTCTTGTCTTTCTTGTCCACAATGTCGTAGATTGAAGGCATTGGAAGGCTTACAATGCCAGCATCGTCGTGGTCAGAAAGGTCGCCATCGGCTGACTCTGCCACCGACTCTGCTGCCATGTTGTCCTTTCGCTTCCTCTTTGATGTGGACGTGGACTCAGCGACCTGGAAAGCAAATGTACAGGGAGAAAACACACTTGCGCTCACTGAGTACAGTATTGGTAGCCAGCAACCTGTCCTTTGCTCGCTTTCCCTTTGCATTGTCCACGGAGTAAATCCTGAAGGAAACTAAGTAAACTAAGTTGAAGTTCCCCACACGTTCGAACACTATCTTCGACTCATTTCGACTCTGCCCACTCTGCATTTGAACACACTCAGTGCCAGACTTCTGAGCCTCCGCCGGGCACTTCACAACTGCAGCCAGAGAAGGCACAGAAGACCTGAACACAAGAGCTGACAAGAGCCTGTTCGGGTGGTTTCCTTGGACACGAAGCAGGGCTGTCACGTGTAAAAGATAAGGCTTCCACCCAGATTTGCGCTCATAAACGCACCTTTCATTCTTCCAATGCTCCAGCCTCCGCTTTTCAGCACAACCCTGAAAAACCAGACACACCTTGCTTGCACTCACGCTCATGCACTTGCTTATGCTGGGTGTCAGATCTTGAAAGCTGAAAGTTTTGGCTATTGGCAACTGAAGGACCCTCACAAGACCCAAAAAATGATAGCTGATAGCCTTGTCGGTCAGCACACAAGCCTGTACAAGCTAAGCTTTTGACGGAGGCATGCGTTGGCGGCCAGTCCTTCTGGAGGAAGGAGCCTGCACATCCAGCGCTCCTGGATTTCTTCACAACGGCAACTATGTAACTATGACACTTGCCTCCTCTGGCTTCTGGGCATTTCCCTTGCTTCCTGGCAAGCATGCAGACAAGCTGTGTTACCCAACTCGTTCCAGCAGACCTCCATGCACAGAATACATCAGAATACAAGCTGCAAAGAAAGGATACAGAAACAACATGAAACAACTGGGTCTCGAGCGCCGCGTCTGGGGCTTGGCCTCTGGCTTGACCTGCACTAGCTTTCACTGATTTTCAATGCTTTCACTGTGACTCGTAGGTCAAACTTGTTGGTGACTGGAGTGGGAGCACAAGAATTGCTGACAAAGAACGCTTTTTTCTTCGTCTGGCTGTGCAGTGGAGAGCTGATCCTGCAAAGAAAATTCACAAGACATTGAGTCGTCGAGGCAGCCAAAAGAGTTTCACTGGTGTCCTCGGCTGGCACCCCAGCTGGTTCTGGAGACTGTCTCTTCATCGTGACCGCGGTGTCCTGCTTGCCAACGCCCTAGCCCTATACAATATCCCCAGTATCGGCAACCTTTGATGGTTTGCCTTTGACGCACTATGCATCAATCATTTCAACACAGATCCATGACATTTCACGACTATTTGGGATCAGCCTCTTCATCACCATTTGCATCTTGAGTTTCCGGGTCAAGCTGCGTCGACTGGGTGTCCAATATGGTGTCGTTCAAAGTCTCCTCAAACAGATTTATGTGAAAGGATCGGGGACAAGTCATAAACTTTTATAAACCTCGATTGGCCACACTGATCGAGAATTTTCTCAATGTTTTCTATCTTTTCGACAGCTTTAGACAACGGATATGCGCGGTGCTTGCAAGCACTTGGTTCTGAAACAGAAAAAGGCTCACCTTGCTTAGATTGAGTTCATAAAGTTCAATGTGAATTTCCAGACTTGCACAACACTGCACTAACACAGGCTCAGCACAGACTCCGTCAGACACCAGGGGGAGGTCAAAATTGTACAGCAAACAAAACTGTGCAAGTGTGGCAGCATGGCATTTTGCACTCGAATTTTGGAAAAGGAGACAAGAAGAAACTGTTGTCCAAAGTCTTGAGATGTTTTTGCCTCCATCATCATCGTCATCATCGCCATCATCATCCAGTATCTCGATTGTACTGTATGCCGTATGCCTGTTTTTTGAGGGATAACAATTAAGAAATTGCAATTCTCATTCTTGACCCCGGCAAGGGTCAACGGGTCTTGTGACCTCATTGCTTCTTAATTTTTGTTTCACACTTTGTGGGCGAATCTTTGGTTCACCTTGCCAGAACCACATGATCATATAATATTCATATAACATACCTATACCGGATGCATCCGTAGGCTCGGCAAAACGTACAAAGGAGTAGTGACACAGCGCAAAAATGATTGTGTATCGACGAGGCTTGTGTTTAGATACTAACAGAGTCATCCAAGAGAAAAAAGGCTCAGCATTGTGTTTTGGTTGCACTTCGATTTTGGGATGTGAGTATACACCTGCAGGAAGATTGGGTTGAAGACTGCCTCCAGAAGGTGTCGTGCATGCGTTTATTGTTAATGATACATCCTACTGTTCAAACGGTTGGCATCGAAGGGCAGGACAATGAGGTGCTCCTCAATTGCCTCAGCTTCAGCATCATCTGAACAGGTGGCCTTGGCAGGCAAGTGCTTGAAAGATCTTGAAAGAAATCAGATCGCAGAAATGCAGTTCTCACATGTTCTCGCTGTATCTGTTTGTGTCTTTGTGTCTTTGTGTCTTTGTGTCTTCGCCACGAAGGTGCCCAAGATGAGTAGATGTCCAGTAGCCGCAGTAGCCCATAGTTTCCAAGCTGAACAAAAAAACAATTTCTCCTGGGTGCTGCACAGGCTCAAAAGCACCCCAAGACACAGGCGGGAGCAACATTTGCGGCACACCCGGCACACTGGAGGTGCGAGCTTTGGCCTGCACCAATATCACTTCGAAGGCCTTTGGGGAAAAATGCTCGCTCTCCATCGACTTCTCCATGACAGAAAACCGCTTCGATGGTTGTTTTTACTTGCGCAGCACATGTTAAAACACGCGCCGCGTTTTTCTCAATACTTGACTCATCTTCAAGTATGGCTATGCCAGGGTTATGTCAGAGGTTTATTCTGATATTTCTTTCTGGCACTGTTCGCGTTAGTTCATTAGTTGCTGCCCCACATCTTCGGCAACCCACTGGTGAGATGCACGAGTCCCCTACCCCTGTGCAAGCATCCGGCCTTGAGAACTGGGGCCTTGAATTGGACTTGGATCCAAGATCCAAAAGGCCAAAGTCCAAAAGCATAAGACAGCCACAAGCCCTTCGCACAAGCCCTTCGCACAAGCCCTTCGCACAAGCCCTTCATTCATCCCAGAAGCCCAGCAGCTCACCAACTAAACAGCTTGGCACCAGGCAAGGCCAGCCATTTCACGCAAGGCATCTGCTGCCGCGGCATTGGGGCCTCAAGTGGAGAACCCTGAAAATACAAAAGACACCACCAGTGGCCTGAAAGTTATCAAATCACTCTCATCCAATACCATTCCCTTTCCTGAGGACCTGGACTTGCCCCGAGCTTCTGGAACCTCTCGAAAGCATTTCGGATGTAGCTTGCAGCTGCTTCTCGCGAGATTTCATCCTGGCGTCGACACCAGCATCTCGTTACCAGAAACAACTGGACGGCTGCTCATCGTGGGCAATCTATGCAAACTGTCCTTTGTTTTAACACCTGCAGAGTCTGGACATGTTTGCGTCTTCAGTCTCTTTCCTGGCTCAGCATGCTGTCAGAATGCAGCGGAATGCAGTCGAATCCAATTAGAGTTTACTGAACTCAGTCGCACCTTTGATGGTCTTTTTGATTCTTCTCTTGCCTCATCTACTAGGGAGATCCGGCAATCAAGAACAGGGGACATGAAGGTGACATAAAAAATGAAAAGTTAACTTGAATGAGTTGGGTTCCAAACTCTGCAGACTGCTGGCTTTCTTTGCCTTAATTTTCCGCCGGGCCCAGACCTTGCAACTGGTGTTTTTTTAGATATGTTGCTGTGTGTGTGTGTGGTTGGAACTTTGTAGCATGCAGTGGCTCTTCTTTTGACTGGCAATTTGCCTTTCGACTACGAGACCGGGTGGAAAGAACAGGTCAGAATTGGAAGCACTCTTCAATGGCAGGCAAAGCAACGCCGTCTCCAACATCGCCACCGTTGACTTCAGTCCATACTGGTGTTCGGCATGGAGGAGAGACAGCAATTGGTGATGCAGAAGTGCCTGCTTCCAAAGGAAGTGCCAAACGCCGGTGCCAGGCGTACTTTTTCTTTCCGATCTCAAACACCTGCGCTGGATTAGGTAAGGGGCGGCTACTGCCTGGAAGGCCATCTGGCCCAAATGGTCTCATCTGAATTTCCTTCCAAAAAGCGATCATGAAGGTGATACGTCTGGGCACTTCAAGTCCAAGAGTATGTTCACTGACCGAGGGAGCTTTGCCACAGCCAGGTACCACGCCATGAAAATGCGTTCCATCATAGGCTGCCAACCGCCCTCGCTTTGGAGTCACTAACCAGCCTTTGGTACCAAGGTGTGTATTACACAGTTTTTGATCAGTGACCAAAGTAGGCCCACCCACACCCAGTGGAGCATTCACATAAATTATGCAGCTGCAGATTGGATTCCTCACACCTCCAATGCCCTCGTTGTCACTGTCATAATGCATCTGGTGACCACATCCATGGGGCCGCTTGTGCGCCCACCACTCTGCCACACTTGCTTCTTCCAAGCTGGGAAAAAGATGCGTTTCCTTGAGGAGCTCCCATATGTGATGGATAATCAAATCAATCGTGTTTTGAACTTCGCCTTCAACATTCTGAACATAACTAAAATATCCAACTTTTGAGCTTCCCAAGATCTCGTTGTACACGTGCTCTGTCCAAAACTCAGAAGTTGGGGACAACAAACTTTGCAGGTGCTGCAAAAACCCTTCAGGAATTGCATCATCGAAAACACAGCCGGGAAATCCAGCTTGGGGCGAGGCAGGCTTCTCTTCCAAGCCGTCAGGAAATACATCAGGACACAAAATCCAAGGTGCCAAATGGTATTTCCATCCGCCATCCACCAGCAAAGGTTTTGCTTCTTCGTTTCGCCCTTGTTGCAATAAAAGCAGAATCAGCCTCGCTTGAAGTGCTCTCTTTCCAGGGACGTCACTGCCCTGAGAAATTGCATGTCGAAGCACTTGTTCACTCGCACCCTCATCTCCGGACCCCGATGTAGCCATGATATGCAGCAGCTGTGCGAACCTCAAGCTACATTGGAGAGGTTGGGCAGGACCCAGCCAAAGCGCTTCTGCATAGTTTTCTCTCGCCTTTTCCCATTCTCCACTACACTCGTGTTGGTGAGCCTTTTCCAAGGCCAGTTCTGCATCAGTCTGTTTCCAAGACATTGTCACCATCTGCCGCAAACACCGCTGCAAACCATCCAATGTCTGCTTTGCTAGCTGACTGTGCTGCCTTCTAAAGCGCTTGGCCAGTGGTTTCTCCAAGCGAGTGAAGAGCAACCTTTGCAAAAGGCAACCCTCCCAAGGTTCCAACTCCTCAGGTGGAGCATCCCCAGCTTCGTTTTCAAATGCCTCACAAGCATCTGTCCACAATTCCTGCCATCGAGTTTCATAGACATCATCCATTGAGGCAAACTCAAGACAATGGATAGTGAGTGGGTTGAATGTCTGTTGAGGCAAATTCAAGACAATGGATAGCGAGTGAGTCGAATGTCTGATCAACCAAAATCAATGAATCCTTCAACACATTTCAACAACTGCTTCTCTTATGGGGAAATCGTGCAAATCACAGAGATTGATGCAACGCCCAGCGAAGACGCTTGAGACCAAAACAATTCAAGTCAGGTAGTAAACCACGGATTTCCACACGTGCAACGTAGAAATCGACATCGAAGAAATGGCTGTATGGGCAGTGCAACAAGGCCCATCCTGAGAAAGGTGCGACAAAGGCCTGCTTCAGCTTGTGAATCAACAAAGCCTTGATCACATAATACACATAATTATCAAAAGAAAATGTAAAATGTCACAGCCCTAAGGCACTACAACAGTGGACAAGTTGAGGCTAGCGCCTGCCGTCCCCGTGAAAGGTTTGGCTCCAGACCTGGAAACGTGACACGCATCGCAATTTTGCCAAAAGTGCGGTCAAAGAAAATCTTCAAAAATCATCACACCAGTGCTTGGATCGTCGCCATCACCGTCGCCATCCTCCTTGGCCATGAAAACGAAGAAAAGAAATTGCCAGCGTGATTTGCGTGCTTTTTCAAATGAGGAGAGCACCTTGTTTGGTTCTGTGCTAGCTGAAGCTTCTTTCAAAGGGCACCTCATAGTTTGTCATGGGCCTTCTAGGAGGTAACTACAATAAGAATAGTCTCTCGTACTCCCAACTTTGCCACTGCTATTGCTGCCATCGTGAGACGTAAACCTACTTGCCACTTGCTCTTGAGTCAGCACCTCCTGCATTCAGTTTGAGGGTCAAAGCCAGGAGTCCAACAGAAAAGCTTTTCATCATGTGCAAAGCGTCGTTTGTTTTCGATGCCATCTGGGAATCATCTCAACTGAATCGGCCATGCATGTTGCAATGCAAAACATTCCACGCAGAAAAGGTCCTTGATACCAGCATCCTCACTCACCTCGAGCCTCGAACTCAACAAGAAAGCTTGTAAAATTGACAAAATGCATGCGACTTCTGAGACCCGGCCTGGTCTGGGATGATTGAAGCTGAAGATTAAATCCTGATGAACCATTTCACATTCACATTCCTTACTTCTGCTTACGACTTAAATGAATTTTGTCTCCCAACATTTGCTTTGCCAGAGATACTTTTTACGAATGTGTAAGAGCATCACGGTGAGACTTTCCAAAAGGCCATGACAACCACCGCCGAGCAGACCTGAGAAAATCTCGGAAGTCAACTCAATGTGACTGCATGAAAAGTTATGAAAAGAATAGGTTTCATGATCATGTATCTTGACTCTTGACATGCGTTTTTGCTCCGTTGATCCTCTCATCACATTTTGCTATCGTTTCAGATACACTTATCGCATTTGTTTGACCCCATATGTCAGGCTTAAAGATGAAGCGCAAGAAGAACACTTTTTGGGTTTGGTCCATGATCCAAAAGTTCACATGAAAGAAGGCCAACTCTGCTTCGATTGATATGGTCAAAAAAAGAGACCAGTCGCACAGTTGCACAGTGCTCAGCTAGGCCTTGCAGAAGTGTCTCTGGAATTTGGTGTCGTGGCACCTGAAAAAGGAAATGTCACAAATCAATACAAATCATTCAAATCGTTTGGAAACAGCAGCCTGAAGAAGCACCGCCAAGGTCTGAAGAACCAGCCTGGAATTGTTGACCAAAGAGTTCCAAGGATATTGGGTTAAAACAAACTACAGGCCAAGCTGCCAACAGGTGACGCAACACCCAATTTTCAGAAATGAAAAACTCGCCTTTTGACAATCCTTTTCTGGTTCCATCCAACCTGATTGCAGGTCGACTGCATATGCATCAGCATTTTTGTGCAAAACCATGCCTTGCGTCACCGATGCCCCTGTTCCAGCCCTACTTATACTGTGCGGACGCCGTTTAAGCCAATCAGCCACCAAGGCAAGGGAATAAATACTTTCAGGCAAGTATGGAATTGCAACGATGTAATTTCAGAACGTCGCCGAATTGTTTTTTGCGGTTTCAATGTGGCCCCTACCTGCATGTGCATGTTATTGGCCACCTCGCTGATTCAAATGTGTCGATTTGATGACCATTTGTTATTAATTGCACCCTTTTGGGCGGGTCGTTGGTTCTGTTTTTTACAATTATCAATTGTTTTCGCCCACATTCAACAAACCTCTTCAAATGACATGTCCTGCACCAAACAAACACATAGAATTCATCAACAAAAACAATGACTGCCCTTGCGGGTGTTTTTTGATATTGGTGGTGTTGCGGCGCGTTTTCCATGCACGCATCACGTTCGAATCCATGCGCGCAAATCCCCGGAAACGTATGTTATTAGTTTTGGGCTTCATGCACATGGGGGCACCAATGTGTGTGGCCGCTGATGCCATGTCATTTCATATCAGATCATTTCATTTCATGTCAAAAGAAATATCATGCCAGATCAAACCAAATTACTTTGCTTCGAGTGATCCCCACCATGACATTTCAAAACGGCTTGTTGACACCACTTTTGTCTGAAGCTTTTGTCACGGGACTTTTGCCCAACTAACTATCCCAATCATTTGTTTCACCTGGCAGGTCATTGTGCATGTCAGACTGTCAAACAGGATATAAACATGTCAGTGGGCCATGCGAAGTAAACTCCAGAGCTCTCAACAGGTTTGCTTAAACATGACCAAACAGGCCAGTGGACCACCTGAGCCAAACAAACAAACATGCCCAAACATGTCAGCACACCGCCTGTCAAACATGTTTGTACAAACATGACTGAACCAAGCCAGTGGACCACCTGAACCAAAGTCAAAGGCTCGCAAGCTCATGTGTAAACTCGACAAAACCATGCCAGTGTTACTTCACCAGATCGCGGTTGAGGTCCGGCAGGGAACACTGGGCGTGGATGCTCGTGGTTGAGGTCCGGCAGGGAACACTGGGCGTGGATGGTCATGGTTGAGGTCCGGCAGGGAACACTTGGCATGGATACTCGCGGTTGAGGTCCGGCAGGGAACACTGAGCATGGATGGTCGTGGTTGAGGTCCGACAGAGAACACTGTGGATCGCGGGTCGCAGTTGGACGAGGAGGACGAGGAGGACGACGAGGAGGAGGAGGAGAGGAGATGAGGAGGAGAGGAGAGGAGAGGAGAGGAGGAGCAGGCAACTGACATAAAATCTAACAACCCTCACCTGGCAGGTGGGGAATAAAAACCATACATATATATGCATTTAGAATACCAGTAGTACCGCACAAGGCGGTGGCGGAAGTTTCAAAAATAGGACACCTATAGGAGAGATTGGTTGTTGTGAATCTGGGATGGCAGAGCGAATCCACTGATGGACCGAAAGGTGCTTGAGGTCTCCTCTCTTTCTCTCTCTTTCTCTGACTATCTACTTACCTACCAACCTATCTTCTATCTATGTATCTATCTATCTACCTATCCATCCATCCATCCATCTATCTATGTATCTATCTATCTATCTATCGATCTATCTATCTATCTACCTATCTATCTATCTCTCTCTCTCTCTTTTCATCTGTCTATCTGTCTAGCTGTCTACCTGTCTATCTATCTATCTGTCTATCTGTCTACCTGTCTATCTGTGGTGCAGTGTCATTCAGTGTAATGTAGTGTAGTGTAGTGGAGTGTAGTGGAATGTAGTATAGTGTAGTTTCGTGTTGTGGAGTGTAGTGGAGTGTAGTTGTGTAGTCGTAGTTGTAGCTGTAGTTTAGTGGAGTGGAGTGTAGTGTAATGTAGTGAAGTGTAGTGGAAGGTAGTGTAGTGTAATGTAGTGTAGTGGAGTGTAGTGTAGTGTAATTTAGTGTAGTGGAGTGTAGCGGAGTGTATTGTAGTGGAGTGTAGTTGTGTAGTTGTAGTTGTAGTTGTAGTTGTAGTTGTAGTGGAGTGTAGTGTAGTGTAGTGTAATGTAGTGAAGTGTAGTGGAGGTAGTGTAGTGTAGTGTAGTTTAGCGTGCGGAGTGAGTGTAGTGTAGTGTGTGTAGTGTAGTGTAGTGTAATTTAGTGTAGTGGAGTGTAGTGGGAGAGTGTAGTGGAGTGTAGTGGAGTGTAGTTGTGTAGTTGTAGTTGTAGTGTTGTGTAATGTAGTGTAGTGTAGTGTAGTGTAGCGTAATGTACTGTAATGTAGTGTAATGTAGTGTAGTGTAGTGAAGCGAAGCGACATCTGAACCTCCAAAAGTGGTCCGAACCCCTCGTGCTTTTAACATTTTGACTTCAAAATGTGCTTCGCGCCACTTCCAAAAGTGGTCCGAACCCCTAGTGCTTTTAACATTTTGACTTCCAAATGTGCTTCGCGCCACAACGGCGTGCACTTTTTCGACATCTCAACTGCCAAAAGTGGTCCGAACGTGGTGTGCTTTGTACATTTTGACTTCCAAATGTGCTTCGCGCCACAACGGCGTGCACTTTTTCAACATCTCAACTTCCAAAAGTGCTCCGAAGCTGAGGTGCTTTGCACATTTTGACTTGGAAATGTGCTTCGCGCCACATCGGCGTGCACTTTTTCGACATCTCAACTTCTAAAAGTGCTCCGAAGCTGAGGTGCTTTGCACATTTTGACTTGGAAATGTGCTTCGCGCCACAACGGCGTGCAATTTTTCATCTCTCATCTGGCCAGCTGGCTCCGCGCCCGCCGCTTTAGCGAGCCTACTTTTCGACCCTCCGGAGCCCCAAATCATTGGAAAAACAGTGTTTCGCGACTTTCCTACCTTTTCTCGCATCTGCATCTTCTTTCTTCTTACTCTTTCTCTTCTACTCTTCTTTCTTCTAATCTTTCTCTTCTCTCTGCCTCTTCCCTGCTCTGCTTTTCATCTGTCCATATTGTCGGAAGTTTGACTTCTAAACTTCCTTCGATAATATGTTTTTTGCCCAGCCCGTAGCTGGCTGAAAAATGTGGGCTGGGAAAGGGGGCGGTGAACGGCAAGGTGCTGGAAAATAGAAAACGGG